TAGAAATATAAGAAAGAATGCGCCTTTCGCCCTCATTCGAAGAGGAGAACTTGTGCTATATTTTTCGTCGTTCTGTTCGTTGCGGTCACGTGTAGAGAAAGAAAATTGTCTTTATATATTACCTTTTTTTTGATGAAACAGAACAACTGACAGTGTATGTGTGAGTGTTAAATATGCATCTATTTGCTCATCAGTCATTTCTGTAAAAAGTGGTAAGTAAGTGATATAAATTATTCTCACATAGCAATAGAAATTGACGAAAAAAGTCATATTAGTTTCACATTTTTGGTAGCTTTCAGAAGTTGCATTTGTTTATCAATAAAACATTGCCATGGGTGATAGCCGATCGAATTTTATTCAGACGCTAAAAATGAGATTTCTTTTTAGATTGATTGATATTACAAATGACGATCATCAAGAAGAGCAGATTGTTGAACGAGCAATTAGCTATGCAAGCCATTGCTTGTGCTCAAAAAGTGGCTCTTGTCTTGTAAGTAGACTCCCCTTCTCCAGAATAGAAGACAATCCCATATTAGAAAGCTATCTCTGTTAGAAGGTCATGTCTGAAAAAAAATTCAAAGGTCCTATTAGAAAGTCATTAACTAATTAATTAATTACCAAAATGGCACATTTTTCGAAAATATTAATTAATAATTAGTCGAAACTGCCGTTTTTCTGCTGATTTTCTAAGAAACTGCTCCGTATTCTATCATTCGTAGCATTTTTGAATTCGAAAGTAGCAGTTTTTCCGTGAAAAAAGAGCCAAAGCCTTTAATTAAAATTATTAATTAATTACTAGTTTTTAATTAATAATTGATCAAAAGTCGACCTCAATAGAAGGCCACGAAAAAAGTAAAGATATGCGAAGAAGCTTTACAATCCCATGCCCTGTTATTCTGAAGGGGGTACAGCTATTTGCAAAAAGAATTGCATTTACAAAGTTCACTACTGCTTCCATAGGTTTAATTCATTTCTGCTAGCCATTTAAAAAAAAAGTGAACCAGAAGTCACTTTTAATCACTTTTAATAATAATAAATTAAAATAAAGTAACTTTTCCCACTATTTTGCACTTTTTCTAGGAAATTTTGATATTCTGCATACTTTTAAAAGTACTTAATAGTACTTTTGGGGGGTGCGAAGTATTATATATTATGTTTTTAAGCATCAAAAGTACTTTTTTACTTATAAGTATACTTATAGTTATTCAAAAAGTTTCACTTATAAGTATACTTATAGTTATTCAAAAAGTTTCACTTATAAGTACTTTCCATGCTTAAAAAAAATACTATTGAAAGGAGTTAATAGTCACTTTTTTGGATCAAAATTTTTACATGGGTGGCTCTAACAAGGATCAATAGCTAAAAAAAAATATTCTGTATTGATATATTGTGAATTTTTTTTCAATCATGTTCGATAGAAAGATCAACGACATACCTGATATAATAGAAAGTTACAAAGAAATTCCATTATTCTAAGAGGGTGATGCAATGGACTTTTATGAGCTACTATAGAAATTTACAGAAAAATACGAGGTTCGGCAACAAACTGAGTATTCTTTAATTTCATCAAGATATCTCGAATAATGGTTTAAATTGGCTATCAAGTTGGACACAACCGATTTTGAAGTTATTTCTAATAATTCTTGCTGGCAAATAATAGAAAAAAAACTTGGTTTAGGATTCTGAAAAAGTATAGTGATTTTTGCAAGTTTCAATGTTAGTACTTATATTTTTCATTTTCTACCGAACGTGGGTGAAAAAGTTTTCCAAATACGCTAATACAGAATATATTTTTGGTAGCTGTCGAATCTAGGTAGAACCAGTAGAAATGAATGAAAACTGTGAGAGATATACTGAAGTTTCTGAACACAATTATTTTTGTAAACAGTTATATGTTTTCAAGTCTTTTGTTTTTTGTTTAAAACTAAATCATACGTGAATAGGGAAGAACAATTATTATCATATGCTGAATTGCTTGTATTCTCGCAACAAGTAGCGATATGCATCCGAAAAATGGTGAATATGGATAAAAAAGAAAATATTATTTTTCAATGTGTTGAGCGGTCGATCGAAATGCCCATTGGTATTTGTGGTATACTTATGGCAGGTGGTGCCTATTGTCCACTTAATCCAGACGAGTATCGTGATCGTCTCGAAACACTAATCGTTCAAATTCCTGGGCGTCTAGTACTTGTGCAAGCATTCACTAGGAGTAAGGTCACTTCATCAACAATCCCTATGGTAGATCTGAGCAACATTATTCTTGACACATTTGATATTGATTTCGATCGTTTGGATCAAGTCTATATTAATGCAAATACTTCATCCATCATTATTGGATCATCTGGTTCTGTCGGTACACCTAAAATTATCGTTCATACCCATTCAAGTTTCGATTCACTTGAATATTCACTCGAGAATATTGATTTACTCAATAAATATGACATTGTATTACAAATAGCCTGTTGTTCGTATATAATTCATGTATATGAAATTCTTAATTGGCTTTTATTTGGTGCAACTGTTGTGTTATTGAAACCAAATAATCACATGATTGTGTCGTGTATTATTTCAAATATTCATCGACATCAAATAACTTCTATAATTACCGGTCCCAGTACACTTCGTATGCTAGCGGCATATTTAAATGATCAACTACCACGTAACGTACTTGCTTCATTACGCACTCTGTGCACCATTGGTAAATGATGAATAATTCATATTATTGTCATCAAGGAGGAAAAAGTTAATTCCAGGTTTCCTTGACTCCATTGATTCTAAGGGATTCTATATGATTCCAATAATAAGGAATTAGTTGTTTTCGCCTCGTTTTATTCTTACTTTCATCGGAATAAACGAAAATCCAATCTCAGATTCGTATTCAGCATAAAAACTGATTCGATTCATCAGTGAAACAGCTGACTCGAGAGCGTTTGAGTTAGTGACGTCAGTGGAGTTAGTTGGAATCGCTGGGAGTTTTCAGTGACTTCAATTGACTCCTAGTGATTCTATTGATTCTGCCTGATTCCAATGATTCTATCGCCTCAGAATCCGCTTTTTCTTCCTTGATTATCGTTCCCATACGTATTATTGTAGGTGAAGCACCACAACCTAAACATTTGGCTAAACTCGCTAAATATCTCCACAGACAACACCGCATTATTTGTCTCTATGATACAACCGAATGTTTGATTGTTACCGCTTTTTATGTTCTCAATCCACAGCATTTGTCTGACTCGGAGATAATTCCACTTGGTTCGCCATTACCTACAGTAAAGTTTATTGTTGTTGATGACGAAACACAACAACCAATAAAACGTGTTGGACAAGTAGGTGAAATTCACATTGGAGGTAAGATTGATCAGTTTGAAATACCAACAAAATAGTATTCTATTAAATAATCTGAAATTTAGGTCCCATGCTTTTCAAAACATATCTCGATGATGCATTAGATACTGGAAAATTTTTTCTTCGTTATGGCAATGATCTTCTGATGAAAACACAGGACTTGGCCACCCTTGACGAACATGATCAATATGTATATATAGGTCGTCGAGATTTTCAAATACGAATTCGTGATCAACAGATTCGAGCAGATATTATCGAAAGTGTCCTAATGGGATCTTCTGTTTCTATTCAAAATTGTGTTGTAGCTACAATTGATCATAACGAGCAGAGTTTTCTGGTTGCCTATCTTGCATCTTCATCGACATATAGTATGATCGATATATCTCAAATTAAAGGTTATTGTCAAAAACATCTTACCACTAATATGATTCCAAATAAATTTGTTATACTTGATCAACTTCCATTGAATATGAATGGAAAAATTGATCGAAAAAAATTGCCGATACCTGAATTCGATTCAAATTTATTCGATATTGAAACAACCCCTATGAATTTATCAATATTAGAAGATCAAATTGAATCAATTTGGTGTGAAACTATAAGACATATTGATCATTGTTCTTCTACTACCAATTTTCATTCTATTGGGGGAGATTCTCTTCAATTTATTCAAATTTTTAATCGATATCAAACCGAATTTTCACCATCAAACACTCTCAATATCAGCCTATTTCTAAATCAGCCAACTCTATCAGATCATGCACGTTTATTAACATGTCAATCGAACAAAACAATACAAGATCGATCCATATGGTCTACTTTAAACTTACAAGAAGGTAAATGATTCTATTTCTGAGTTTTACTGCAAGTCACGCGAAGCTTTTTCTGTGTTTTAGGCATAGCATCATTTGCACAAGAACGTATCGCTCTCGACGAATACGTTCGTTTCGGTGAAAATACGGCCATCTATAACGAATTAATTGTATTTCGAGTCGTGATTAACTCATTCTCACTTGTTCGTCTTGGTCAAGCTATTCAATCGGTTTTAGAAAAGCATCAAGTATTACGTACGTCTGTTTTTCTCAATTCCAATGATGGTATTTTTATTCAACGCGTCTTGGATGGTCACAAAACATTTCATTTCTCTCCTATTCAGACATTTGAAAATGATGACGATCTTCATTCAATAATTTATCAAATAAGTATCAATCCAAATCTATTCGATGTGTCCAATGGTTGTGTATTTCATTGTCAAGTTCTTAGACGAAATACGATGAATAAATATAGTACTAATGAAGAATTACTTAATGTAGACGATGTTTTAGTAATTGTCTTTCATCATATTGCATATGATCTATTGTCTCAACAAATATTTGTAGACGATTTATCTATTGCCTACAATACGAATGGATCATTGCCAATTGAGAAAGATGCTTTTAACTACATAGATTATTCTGTATATGAACGTGAAATCGATATGACGCCATCACGTGAATTCTGGAGATTACAACTTGTCGAATATAACATCAATAAACATTTTACAATTCCTATCGATCGATATCGTTCATCATATGATAAACGATCAATATTGGCCTCGGTTGCTGAATTATCATTCGGAGATCTTTCTTGTTCCTTTCTTGATTATGCTTCCGTTCATCAAATGACACCATTTCAACTTGGTCTTGCCACATTCTATGCTTTTATCTTCAAACTTACGAATGGTCAAAACGATCTGTGCATTTCATCTGTTAATGCAAATCGATATCGAGATGAATTATATAAACTAATAGGAATGTTTGTTGCTACAGTACCTTATCGAATACAATTTAAATCTGATATATCCTTCGAACAATTAGCTAAACAGGTGAAAGAACAATGTTTGTCAATACTCGAACATTCACACTATCCACTTCAACATATTCTTGCCGATTCGTATCAACACTACTCGAATATTAATTTTCTTGAAATAGCCTTTGATTTTATTACTCAGTCAAGAAATACGAATCGATTACTTTTCGATACAGCCAAACTCGAATCAGTATCAATACCACTTAAAAATACATTGGCCAAGTTTGATTTTATGTTTACATTTGTTCTTGATCCATCGATTCAGTCTAATACCATATCATTTTCATTGGCTTGCTCTAATGATCTATTCGATCAAATAACTGTAGAAAAATTAGTTCGTCGATTCGAATTTCTCTTTGTTCAACTCTTTACTAACAAATCCATCGATCAAACAAATCAAATGAAGACATCAATAGCGAAACTATCTATTATACTTCCGGAAGAAACAGAAGAAATACAACGCATGTGGTTTCATCAATTGCCTAACATTATTCACACAGGTATGATTGGCAATGAATTATTCTGTCAATTTTCTATGACAACCCTTTGCGTATGTGAGCTTTTCAATTAACAAACGTTTCCTTAAATATGAAAGTGAATTAAAAAAATTAGATCACAATTGCAAGAATTTTCTAATATTTATATCATAGAGATATTTCTAATGCTCTGTCAGAGAAAAAAAATACTTCTTGCAAGTCCTGGCATATCTATGTAAAAATAATTCGAATTGAACGCGTTTTAAATCGCTAAATTCGAATTATTTGCGCATGATTCCTTGAGAAACGATTATATAATCTTCCCATCAAAATGACTTTTGATGAAATATGACAGTTTTATTATTTACAGAATCATAGAGATAAGGTAAACTTTTTGTGTATGTTTTGTTTCTCAGATCAGTTTTTATATTGCTGAGAACTAATCTCACGAATGATTCTTTTTCGTTTTCTCTAGCTCGTGCTTCATACGCTCAAGAATTAATATGGCCTGATGATCGCATTAATATAATTTTTCCCTATCGAGTCTCATCTGATGGTGCACTATCAATTCAACGACTTCGTCAATCTCTGAATCTGATTGTTATGAAACATGAATCATTGCGAACAATGCTCTTCGTCAATGAGAATGGTGTACTTATGCAGCAGATCAATGATCCAATCGATACGTGTCAACAGTTGTTTATTGTTGATGAAAGCTCATTTGAAACTGAAGATGAACTGAATAATATAATTCATGATGAACGATGCAGTCCGAATCATTTTGATCCATCTCATGGTCTCGTATGTCGATGTCATATTATTCATCAGAGACAAACTGTTTCCACAGACTTTCTATATGAAGGCGATGTGCTCGTTTTCAATTTTCATCATGCCATCTTCGACATTCCATCTCTGTGTATCTTCCTTCAAAGTCTCAATGATGCCTACACGAGTGATAAATTCATTAAAGACAATGACACGTGTCTACGTTACATCGATTGTAGAATTATTGTCATCTATTATCTTAAGATATTCATGTTTTCGTTTCGTTTAGATGCCGTCGCCGAGCGGGAAATGTCTATGGCTTTTGCCAATGCCTTTTGGCTAGAAACTCTTAATGAATATGCTCTCGATCAGCGAATATCGTTGCCATTTGACCGATATCGTGTTGCTGACGAGCGCCGGACAGGACGCGCGATATCAGTTTCACTAGACTTGGACGAGAATCTTTCACGAGCAATGCTGGCTTACGCTTCGATAACTATTACAAAGCTGGAACATTTAGCTCTCGCTTGTTACTATGCCTTTCTATTCAAGTTGACAAATGGACAGCGTGACTTGTGCTTTAGCATGAACACTCACAATCGAAACAATCCCGAATTAAGTTCCATCATTGGTACATTTGCCAATGTCATCCCATTGAGATATCAAATTGACCCTCAAAATTCTTTCGTTCCGCTTGTCGAAGGTATTCGTACGATGGTGATAAACAGCTTGGAACACTCATATTTTCCTCTGCAACGCATTCTTGCGCAATATCCGCTCATTTCAAAGCCAGATTTTCTGGATTTTGCGTTCGAATTTCAATCAAATCAATTTCAACTCAACTGTGATTCATTTCAGTTGACTGGTGTCTCGCTACAAGCGTTACCATTTTCAATCAATAAAGATTCAGACGAGATTATTTCCAAGTATGACTTTTCATTTCATATTCAACATAACGTGATCAGCGATAAGTTATCTTTCACAATTTGTGCATCGTTCGATTTGTTCCAAACAACGACTATTGACAAAATCGCTCAGCGATTTCTTCTCATGTTGAAGCAATTATTTGAATGTATTGATGATCGACCCATCTATGAGCTATCGCTGATTTTACCGGAAGAAATGACATTAATTCAAGAATTAAACAACACAGAAGTCGTCTTTTCACCTTTTAATTGCGTACATCATGAATTTGCTTATCGAGCAAGTGAACACCCACAGAAAGTGGCACTTGTACTTGACGAACAATATGTAACTTATGGCGAGACACTCTTTTATGTCGAACAGCTGCAGTCCTATCTCGGCGAACGTCGAGATCAAATTATTTGTCAATGTGTCGAATGCAGCATCGAAATGATTATCGGTCAGATGGCAATTATATCATCGGGAGCCGCCTACTGTCCCCTATCGCCTAATGATCCATCAAAGCGTCTCATTAATTTGGTGAAACAAACACGAGCTCAATTAGTTCTTGTTCATTCAGCAACAATTGATAAACTTGACAAAGACCTCGATGTGCACATTGTGAACCTTTCTTCAGCTCTTTTATTCAACGATGAATTGTGGCAACCCAATATCGGCACACATCAACTATTATCTTTCAACAGTCTCGATGACCTTGCTTAGTAAGATCATTCTGCTTATGAGAAGTTTTAGTTTTATACAAAAAAATGTTTGATTTAGTCTAATCTTCACAAGTGGTTCCACTGGTATACCGAAACTGGTAAATGAGAACCATGCTTAGAATATCAAATATTCTCACTCTAAATTTTGACCTTCTTTAGGTTTCAATCACACACAATAATTTTATGGCATGTATGTTCTCCTATAGACATGCTGCAATTCTAAGCGGTCACGATGTCGTTATTCAGATGGCACAATGCTCATTTGATGTACATATCGAAGAATGTCTGGGATCCTTGGTGCTTGGAAGTTCTCTGGTCCTTCTTCATCCAGAAGGACAATGGGATCTGGAATATCTTTCAATAACTATTCAGCAATGCAATATCACTTTTTTTGCTGTTGTACCGTCAATCATGTCTGTTCTATGCGATTATCTCATGGAAATACGACAACTTTGTCGTTTGGATGGAATTCGAGCGTTTGACTTCGGTGGTATGTTAGAGTAAAACTTGCTTTTGTTTTTCTTCACAAGAATATGTGATTCTACTTACATAATTTATTGCTAGGTGAAGCTATTCAGACCAAAGTTCTCTCCACGATAATCAAACGTCTCGATCCGAGTAATGTTTTATTCTTCAATGTGTATGGTCCTGCCGAATGTGCAATCGCTTCGATTTACCATCGAATAACAAAGAACGAGATCGAACAAGGTCTAATTCCTATCGGAATTCCTTTTCCCAATATGCAAGTTCGAATACTTGATGAGTTCTATCAACCAGTAGTCCCTGGTATGGACGGCGAGTTATTTCTTGCTGGTGTTCAACGATTTTTGGGCTACTATGATCAAGAAGACCTGACAAGAGCAGCTCTTTTTGGCTCATTCTATCGCACAGGAGATCTTGTTCGAATGGACAATAAGGGTTTACTTCATTATATCGGTCGCAAAGATCATCAGATCAAACTACATGGTCAGCGCATCGAATCGGGCGAGATTGAACGATGCTTGCTTGATGCTTCGATATCTGCCTGTGTCGTCATCAAAGAGGATGATGATCATTTGGTTGCTTATGTCCAAAAATGTAATATGAACGAGGAGCAATTGCATGAATATTGTTATCAACATCTGCCATCACATATGGTTCCATCAAGATTTATTTTATTAGAGCAAATGCCATTAAATAAAAATGGAAAATTGGATCGAATGCGATTGCCTCGTGTCGAAACTGTTCGTGTGCAACGTTCAATTAGATTGCCATCAACATTGTTAGAAGAACAACTACAGACTATCTTCGTCAATGCTTTTCATTTGTCTCAAGACGTTATAGATGTGACCAAATCATTCAGTCAATTAGGTGGCACATCAATAGGAGTTATGCGCGCTCTCTTCACTATTCGTAAAGAAGTGTACGAAAAAATGGAAATTAGCCTTTTGCTATCCAATTCATCTATACGTCAGTTGGCCACTGTACTCGAATCGTTGCTTGTCAAGAATAATAACGAGAAAGCAAACGAATCAGCGAGGGAGACTGACTCGTCTCCGTATCCAAAACCGTCGTTAGCTATCGAAACACTTGGCATTCTTGTCTTGATATACCAATGGTTGATTCCAATTTACATAGCTTACATGTTCATGTGGCCGGTAATTTTTTCTATTCTTTTCATTTCATCAAGTCATCTGATTACCTACATTGCTTGGCAATATCTATTGGTTCCATCAATAGCGAAAGGATGTCGTCTGCAGCTCTTCTCTCTGGCATACTACCAATGGTGGTTTCTTAATCGAATATGGATACTAAACAGAAATATTTGGCTTCGGCCTCTTGTTGGCACACCCTTTTACAATACTTATTTACGTGCATGTCGTGCTCGCATAGGAAATAGTGCACATATTTATACAACATTTATCGATGCTCCGTGGCTTGTCGAAATCGGTGATGGTACATTTGTAGCCGATGAAGTTTATTTCAACAATATCTCTTATCAAAGCCGAACTTTTGAACTTCATTCAATTTCGATTGGTTCTTCGTGTTCAATTGGAACTCGAAGTGTTCTTTACGAAGGTGTGCAAATAAATGATGGCTCTTTGATTGAATCATATTCAGCTGTTAAAGGTTTGTTGATCAGCTCAGTTCCACACAACCTATCAAAGTCATCTCATTTGCCTCTTGGCGTACTGTTTCAACTCACGTGCCTTGTCATTATGATTGTTCTACATGATTTCGCATTGAAACTTGCTGCTACAGTCTACCTGCCCATGCAACCACTCTTTCTGTCTCTCACTCTTTGCTGGCTTGTGTGGACCGTCGTAGCAGCCAGCATTGCCCTACTTGCACTCAAATATAGTGTTGGTATTGTACAGATCGGCACGTATGCTTTAAACTCATGGCCTTATCTTCGTTGTCTATGGCTGCGTCAATTGATTGTTTCATCTTTCGCCTATTCTCTGTCAGCACTACTGGACGACTATCAAAGTTTCTCTCTAAGGATACTTTCATGGCTTGGTGTCGATATACAAGGCACTAATATTAAATTGGCCAATGTTTTACCCTTTCTTCGTTTTTCATCTCGTCTTCTCTCCATTGGTGATAATGTGACCACGTTCGGTGAGGTTCAACTTGTTCCATTTGATGTCGATAGTAGAGGTCAATGTACTGTTGATTTTGTGTCATTGAGCAATGGTGTTACTCTAGGTAATGAATGCTCTGTTCATCCCGGAGCATCCATTTCCGCTGACACACTTGTTGGCACTTTGACACGGATAACACGAGACACACAATGTGTCGACAACAATATTCTTCTCGGTATTCCAGCTTGTCCTATGCCATTTGTCCTTCCTCTCGTAGAGACTAAGCCATCTCATTTAAGAGGAAAATCGATTGTCTTCGAGTCTGTTCTTCAAGAAATACCAGCCAAAATGATATTACTAATCGTTCTGTCTGTCATTTTCTGGTCAACAGCGAATAACATTTTTATTACATCAATCATATTTCCTATGGTTTATTCAGTTCTCGTATGTTTGCTCAATCGCTGCTATACACAATTTCAATCAACTAGATATTCGTCAACAAATATAGTAAATGATTGGCTTTATGCACTGTTAGATAAGCTGACAAGTGACTGCCACAGCCTACTGAATCCCTTCGTGGGTGGTACTCAATGGGTTATCTATTTTACACGAGGTCTTGAAGCTCGAATTATCGGCAACGATGTTATTCTATCCGATAGTATGTATGGCACGGAGCATCATCTGATCACGATTGAAGCACATGTAAGAATAAGTGAAGGAGCTTTTCTTCAAGTAAGTCATTACATAGTCTTCGTCGCGTGAGACATAATTAGGAACATATCTCTTCTAGACGCACACATTCGAACAGCGTATTTTTAAATTGGAGCCGGTGATTGTGGGACAGGGTTCCATCATAAAATCCAGCGCATTTATTTTTCCTGGTGCCCATCTTGCCGGTAACAATATTATTGAACCACGGACACTGATTATGAAGAACGAATATCTGGGAAAAGGCACTCAGTGGTCAGGCAATCCAGCTCATCGACTTCTTCCAAGTTGAAAAACATTAGTTGTCTAAAGGAACTAAGAACATGCTGGATTCACCACTGATATCAATCTGAAAAGGATCTGAGTATGAGTGTGAGTTGTAGGTATTTAGGGTGCGAGGTCTAGGTATAGGTGTGTGAGTGAGTATGGGGGGGAGATGATAAGCACTGCTAGAGCCATAGCCACATCGTTCACACCTACACCCTTATAGTGTTCGATTTTCTTATGAATAAAATGATTTTTTCACTTACTTTGAATATTTCTCTGATTATTGAATGCACAATTGATAATACTTTTGAATGTTTATTATATTTCTAGGCTATATATTTCTTTATTAAAGATACATGTAGTCAAATGAATTTTTTGAAGAAAGAAGTATTTAGGAAAGATGTTCAATACAACATGATAATTTGTTTTTTAATTCATGACAAGAAGGATTTGCATTGTTGTCTATAACCAAATGCGCAATTCAGCCTCACGAATCCAATACATACTGGTACGACTTGAATCACGAAGTTTAGTGGCATTTTTTAAAAACTTGTCAATCAATTTCTTTTGTTGAATCAATAATTCTTAATCTATTGATACAACTAATCGTGTCAGATTTTTATTAAGGTATATATTCCATCCACTCGTCCAGAGAGAAGTAAGCTGTGGGAAAAACTTCGATAATAAAGATATGTCGATCAATGCTGACGGGTCCAGAATTCTTAAAAAAGGACGAATCGTAGATGGAAATTCAGCATTTAAATTTTATAAGTTGTAAACATCGACATAACATCATGGATATCCAAATCTTACAAGACGACGATATTTTTCGGATAGATTTATAGTCAGTGACAAGCCCCACTTTGAAAAAGAAGTGAACGCAATGCAGGCAACAAAATAAGATAACGGGCATTATTATCAAGGGGCAAACAGCGGACTTCAGGACTTCAGGACTTCATTGGACTTCGTTCTTCTCTGAGTTCTGAAGTTCATGCTATTGTAAAATCTGCTGCTTTCTGAGATAATCTTTTAAAAAACAAAGAACAAATGTGATTTTAGTGATAAGACATGTGAACTTTCGCAGAGACTATGTAAATGTTATTTAATAACCGTTCACTCAAAGAAAAAAGATTTTTTATTACTATCAACATTTCGTGTATTTGCTTAAAAATGATCGATAAAATGTAAAACCAATTAAAAAAACGAGTATATAGATATGAAAACAATTAATTACGTAAAAGATAAATTTTTAAGAAAACAATAGGTGAAGTAGTAAGTAAAAAAAAGACTTGATAAAAAATGTTTCTGAATGAGATACGAGCAAAGAAATAATACGAGAAGTATAAACAAGACGGTGTTGCGTATCTAAATCTTATTCTCTTCTTGTTCTTTTTGCTTCTTTTCTCGTATTATATGAAGATTCTATTGAGTTAAACTTTCTTTTTACTTTCTTTTAGTTTTTAATGATGATGACGATTTTTCAATACTTTCATGATCATCTGTTGACATTGAGATAGATGATGATGTAGAAAATGTTGAATTTGATGGGATTGTGACTGATACTGATGCCGAAGGTATAAAATTCAGTGATGATGATCCCTGATGTAGCACAGTATTTGGAGTTGCAAATGATTGTTGATTATCAGGTGTTGTTGATGACGTTAATTGATGAATTTTAATTCTTTCTTTTATTGTATTACATGTATTACCATTACGAAAGTCTTGTAAATGTCTGTAGAAGTTCGACAGTTGAAATTTACCACGAAAAATTGTCAATGATAACGATTTTTTACAACAGCATTTTATATTACCTTTTAATGCACCACTTAGATCATCAAATATGGAAATAAAATAATGTTGACCTTCAACTAAAGATAATTGTGATAAATCAAATTTTGATTTATTTTTTTCGCACCAGCTATTCAATGTATCAATTAGATATGTTTTATGTTCATTAATTGATAAATTAGATGATTTTGATGTTATTATTTCTGATGAACTATTGGATGGAACAGGCGACGTTGCTTTTGCTATTGTTGATGATGTATCTGTGGTTGTATCTAGTGATGATAATAATTGATTACGTTTGGATAATTTAGCTAATTTTGCGTCATCAATACATTTTTTCTTTAACAAATCAATACGATATTGTACATTTCCTTTTATTCCAGGTTGTATAACAAAAGTACCATCGTCTTGCATATAGCCATATTTGTTTTTAAAATCATTTGAACTTTTACTCTTCAAGTCCATAATAGAGAAAACATTATCTGTCATCAGCAATAACTTTACACAATTAATACCTTGTACTTCAAGTAGAGCAACAGCAACATGACCGGCTTCTTCTTTAACGAAGTCAATAAATTTATCATCACGTAATGACATGGCATTTAGTGGTAATACAGATGGGCGCGATCAACGGCCCGGATACCCCAACATTCATTTGTTTATGTAACTTCAACCGCTCATCAGAAAAATATGATTTTTTTACCAATTGTACCTCACGTATAGTCCTACTGATTTGTTACTATTTCGGATCTATTATATTACTAAGAATGAGAATCGGTAAGTACATCCTTTGAATCATTGTATCAAATGTACGTCATATCGTACTTATTGATATCTTGTTCTCGGTATATGCTTGATGTGAGATAATATTTTATTTATTCTGTCTTAGCTTCGTCTTAGGGTTAGATTATTCTCGGTCTAACTTTGATTTTTTTTTTCATTTCTTTCCGTTCTTCGTTTTCTTTAACACATTTTCGCTCGATAACAGACGCTTAATACACTTGGATTATGTCTTTTTCACAAATCGAATGGGATTGTTCTCGTTGTGGATCTACTGTAACTGATCGTCGAAAATACTGTACCGATTGTCATTCAATGTTAACTTGGACATGTACTGGCTCAGGAAAATCTGGTTTGTACACGAATTATTATCGTCATTGTGACCGCTGTAGTTATTGTACACCACAACTTGAAGAAGAAAAACAACAACAGTTGCAAGCTTTAAATGATAGTGAGTAACATTATTCCTCTTATTTTACACATGCATCTCTCATTCTATTCATATTGTAGAACAACGTCCTTGGTCAGAATGGAGACGCACTGGTGCATCTTGCATACAACACACCGGTTATGATGTCGAACAAGTACAAGAATTGTATTCGATGTGTGAACAACCACTTATAAATTATTGTTCGCATAGGAGCGAGCAACTGACGAACAGTACTACCACATCATATTTATCTCCTATGAATCTGCTTGTGGTAACATTATGGCACTTAAAACACTATCATACTGAACGTTATATTGCTTCAGAATTGAACTTATGTCAACCAGCAGTGAATTATTTCTTATCAGCAGTTGTGGATATTTTACATTCATGCGTATATCCAGAATTGATTTCATTACCTGCTGACATGACTAATAGAAGAACTCCACATGGACATGAACGGAATCATAAATTAATAGTTGATTCGACTTTTATTGCAATACCTGAACCTTATGATTCAGAACAACGCAAAGCATTTTATCATGCGAAAAGTTCAACAAATTACGCATTAAAGGTACAAGTGGCTTGTGATTTTCATCATCGAATAGTACACGTATCCGAATGTTATCATGGAAGTGTACATGATATTACAATTTTAAGAGAATCAGGACTGTTAGAATACGTCAACGACTCTGTGCAAATTATTGCTGACAAGGCTTATGTTGGTGAAGAGTACGTGGTCACTCCAAGAAAAAAACCTCATGGACGTGAATTAACAAATGAAGATAAGAATTTCAATCGTGATATTAATAGTGCAAGAGCAGCTATTGAAAATATTAATCAACGTCTTAAAACGTATGCTATTCTTGGTGGTATCTACAGAGGTGCTATTGATGACTTCCATAAGGCAACAAAAATCGTACAAGTCGTTTCTGCACTATGTAATTTGAACTTAAATAAACATCCTATTCGTAGATAAACAAAATGACAAGTTGTATCTTCTGATAAACTACTTGATAATACGACTCTCCTATTGATCTTTCATGTTGTTTCAAATTTCTTGGTAGTGGATGGTGTACACTAACCCCTATGATCTAAAGTACGTCTGATACAATGATTCAAAGGATGTACTTACCGATTCTCATTCTTAGTAATATAATAGATCCGAAATAGTAACAAATCAGGAGGACTATGCGTGAGGTACAATTGGCAAAAAAATCATATTTTTCTGATGAGCGGTTGAAGTTACATAAACAAATGCATGTTGGGGTATCCGGGCGGTTGATCGCGCCCATATATACATTTTTTGTTGGGTGTTCTATTGATGAATTCATCCTTACTTTTTGCTGTGTGGGTGATGGTGTGAGTCTAGCTTTGAGTTAATAAGACGAGCATTTACACTAATACTCAGATCCACACACCCACACCCACACTTAGGGCTATAAGAACTTGTGTTTTTCAAAAAATTGACTTTCTGAGGCGTTACTTCATAACATATTAGTTATATTTCACTGAAAAAGTCATTGAGCTCAAAGCAAAAAAAATTATATCAAGTCTTTCCAACCGAGCCGATCGAATTCTTAAAAATGTCCCACTGAGCCAATTTCGGTTACGGTCGGTCGATTCGGTTCGGTTTTTAGCCAAATTAATCCCATCTCTTGTACAAAAATAACTGGGGTAACTTTTAAATCTCTTGTTGATGCTTAATTGATCGATCTGTTATATTGAGGTCTCAACAGTGGTGAACAAGCATATGTACGCATCTTGCACGGAGACAACATGTGTGTGATTGCTTCTAATTTGATTCAAATTGCCTAAAACTACAGCGCATCACTGTTCTGAATTGATTATCTAACTTTATAATCATCTCTTTCTTTTCTTTTTTTTTCTTCGATGAATCTGCGATACGTTAGGGTTGCAAATAAAATTGAATTAAATACAAAGAAAATCTATCACAGTTATTGTGAAATTGCTCAACGAATAGTGTAAGCTATTTTCATGGAAAAGATGCTACGTTTGCCATCAATATTCTTTAAACAGCTGCAAACTTTCAGGGACCTTAGAGCTCGTTGTGTTAATGATTTTCATACCAAAATGTAAGGCAAAGCCAGTACTCAGATAGCAAGATTTCAAAATACTTTTAAAGGGAATTTCAAGGGTGGTAGGTTGGGGGTGTTTGATTGGTGCTAGCTTCAAAGATGGACATAACCATACACAAAATTGATAATTGATAATTGCTATTTTTATTAGTTGTAAGCTGAAAAGTGGAACAAGATTTATCTGTGTTCGCTAGTCATTAGGAGAGAAGGAATCATTCCATAATTGATGGATCCTATGACCCAATCATAGCATTGAGTTCATTTTTAATTAAATGTTCATTTCTGCAGTGTACAGTAAAATTTGCCAATTCATTCGAACGACCTGTAACACGTAACGAGTCTTGAGTGGCAGTGAAATTTTGCATGTAATTTATGAAGGCTTTTCCCCATGCTTCAGCTAACTCATTAAAATGAAAGTTTATTTTTCTAAAGTTGAAGAATAACTAATCTTTTTCAATGTTTTCAGCTTCATTTGAGTTCTCGATGATAATAGTAATAACTAGTCCTTTAGCTTCTCTGGTAGATTTTATACTTGGATAGCCCCAAAGTACTGCAGATGAAGGAATTATGCCATCAAAATCAGAAAAACACGAAAGATTCAGTAATGTATCGTTAGAAGAGGGTACTTTTGTTGAGCATTGAGATATATGCGTGATATAATCGCCAAATGTAAAGAAATCGTCACCCATGCTTTTATTTAGATTGTCGCGTGAATTTTGAAAATATTGAAGAACCGAAAGTACTGCACAATTGGTATTATTTGGTTTCAAACAGATGTCGGTTAATCGAACAGAAACATTGCTTATTGGTAGAAGAGCTTCAAGATTGATAATATTCGTTTGCAAATCGNCATTTTTCTATTCTTTTTCTAGATAAATAAAAAATTCCTTATTTTTCTTCTTATGGATGATACATTGACAGAAAATGTTTTTTCTTTAAAAAACGATGACTTTTTTGGTTTTATTCAAGCATTAGTTGGACAACAAATGGTAGATATTCTGAAATTTCAATCAATTACATCTACACAATCTCTTATTCGAAATCCGAATATCTTCGATATATTTAATATGGGGTGTTCGGAATCCAATTTCTTAATGATAAAAGATAGATCACGTTTCCAGCTTGATAATGGAAAATTTATTGTAAAAATTGGGTTAATAAATAATTTGTATTGTTTATTGGATTTTTTAAAACAACAACAACAAAAAATTATGGCAAGCAGTTATGTTGATGCTAATCCCAGTTTATCATTTGATTTTATCAATAAACATCCATTGTTACAGAAATGAATTACTTGGTATGAGCAAGTTGGCACTGAGAATAAAGATAATGAAAATAAGCATGGATTTTAAAACATTTTATTGATACTATCGCTAACAATTTAACAAAGTGAAGCAATAGTTTACGATATAGTGATATAATCAAGTATCTTGCTTTATCGTTATATATATTAGGTGAAAAATTGACGCATGAATATTCAATAGATTAAATTTACCTGGGTCTTTCCGTAGTTTAACTATGTTAAATACGTTAATTTCAAACTCAAATTCAAAAATCAGTGAAGCCGAATTTCGATTCGACCAACTTCAAAAACATTTTGATGATTATGATGTTCAATACGCCTTCGGTTCGGAAGATGATACTGGTATAATTAAAAAGATAAAATATGATTCAACAACAAATACATTCAATGGATTTCCTACACCACTTGATCATGGAGTACCAATTAAAGAATATCATCAAACGAATTCATTTGATACATTTAAGTTATAGTTTAATTCATTTAATAAATCACCATTACTGACTGTACATATGATTCAACCAGTACAGTCCACAAATCAAAGCATTATTCCAAGTCCCTTTTTATTATCAGCATATGGAATTGATAACACAGCTACCGCGAATGGTATACTACAAAGGTGGTGGTATATATTTAATCAATGTTTACAAAGAAATATAAGAATTATTGGTTTTTCTACTGGTACGAAAATAACTAAATATTGTTAATTCAAATCTTACTAAAGAGTAACTTTTTTTATAGATGCCAATGCTAAATATCTACGCGCTATGAGATTAATGAGTGTTTTTTTTGGGTCTCTTCCTAATTTTCAAGTTCATCAACATCCGCAAGCTTTCCAAATAAAAACAACATCACGTTGGCCTTGGTTTTATCTAAGTGAAAAACAGCTATTATTGTTTTTTCAAGACCCAACTCATCTGGTTACNATGACTTTTTTGGTTTTATTCAAGCATTAGTTGGACAACAAATGGTAGATATTCTGAAATTTCAATCAATTACATCTACACAATCTCTTATTCGAAATCCGAATATCTTCGATATATTTAATATGGAGTGTTCGGAATCCAATTTCTTAATGATAAGAGATAGATCATGTTGTCAGCTTGATAATGGAAAATTTATTGTAAAAATTGGGTTAATAAATAATTTGAATTGTTTATTGGATTTTTTAAAACAACAACAACAACAACAACAAAAAATTATGGCAAGCAGTTATGTTGATGCTAATCCCAGCTTATCATTTGATTTTATCAATAAACATCCATTGCTACAAAAATTAATTACTTGGTATCAGCAAATTGGCACTGCGAATAAAGATAATGAAAATAAGCATGGATTTTTAAATCATTTTATTGATACTATCGCTAACAATTTAACAAAGTCAAGCAATAATTTACGATATAGTGATGCAATCAAGAATTTTGCTTTATCGTTATATATATTAGGTGGAAAATTGACGTATAAATTCATTAGATTAAATTTACCTGGATCTTTACCTAGTTTAACTATGTTAAATACGTTAATTTTAAATTCAAATTTTAAAATTAGCGAAAGAGAATTTCGATTTGACCAACTTCAAAAACATTTTGATGCTCTTAATGTTCAATATGCATTCGGCTCGAAAGATGCTACCAGTATAATTAAAAAGATAAAATATGATTCAACAACAAATACATTCAATGGATTTCCTACACCACTTGATCGTGGAGTACTAATTAAAGAATATTATCAAACTGATTCATTTGACACATTGAAATTGTGATTTAATTCAAATGATAAATCATCGTTACTAAATGTACATATGATTCAACCAGTACAGTTCACAAATCAAAGCATTATTCAAAGTCCTTTCTTATTATCAGCATATGGAATTGACAATACAGCTACAGCGAATGATATATTGCAAAGATGGTAGTATATATTCAATCAATGCTTAGAAAAGAATATAAGAAGTATTGGCTTTTCTACTGGCGAGCAAAATAACTAAACATTGTTAATTCAAATCTTACTCAAGAGTAACTTTTTTTTTATAGATGCTGATGCTAAATATGTACGTGCCATGAGATTAATGAGTGACTTTTTTGGCTCTCTTCCTAATTTTCAAGTTCATCAACACCCGCAGGCTTTTCAAATAAAAACAACATCACATTGGTCTTGGTCTTTTTTACGTGAACAGCAACTAAAGATCGTCAAAACTTTAGTTCCTGTTTAAAATTAACATCTACTGAACTATTTTAAATGATAATATTAGTACTCCAGGAATTTTGATTTATCTTCAGATGTTAAAAACAATTGTAGTAACTTATATCGATAAAAAAAAACAACGATTGCTGAACGTAAGTATGGATATTTACCATACTCATTGCGTGAGAGCGGAAAACTCTTCATTCAGAATGTGTCACGCGTAATATAATTTTATTAAAGTGCTTCGATCTGCTTGGTGTGTTGTATTTTTCTGTTGAATATGGTTTACATGGATTAAACTCAAAACATTCCATTCAACACAATTCACAAAAAACATAAAAAGCTGATACTTTATTACTAAACCAGCATATTTATCTGTGGAAATAAATGCACATAATTCATTATGTTTATTGTTACTTGTTTAACAAATATAGTTACTTCCACACGTACTGCATATTCATACTTTTAGCTCGCAAGCTTATGAATCGGTTTTTAGAAACACGCGAGCATTGAGTGGAATCTATTCAACAATAGTCAACTTTATAGAACATATTTTTTTATGACGTGCCCAAAGATTATCATTATCGAATGATATTAAATTTAAACAATAAAATGATGAACCAGTTATTAATTTCGTCTTTCCAGTTCATTACAAACATCGAAATGATCGTTAATCATCATTTACACAAAGTCAAAGCGATGTTGATCAAATAGATATCGAACAAGTTATTACCAATGCCTACCATGAAGCTATTGATATGCTTTATGGTTTAGAGATATTGAATTTGACGAAAAACAAGCGTGTTCTTGGCTTACACTTATTAATTGAATATGGGTTTAAACAGCTAAATTCAAATTCAAAAATGTATGACTAACTCATCTCAACTGAGCAATATAGACGATGATGATGATGATGAAACAACAGATGATCTCAACATGGATGATTATAATAATGATAGTTTTTCCTCTAATGATGATTACACGGATGATGACGAACAAGATGATACTCGAAATTTAATGCATACGACAAAATAAGACTTTGCTGGAATAAAAATCTTCAATACGGTTGAGGCTCACATAGAACAATCTTATTTTAAACTTATAATTAATGATGATACAAGATACATACATAAGCAAACTGCTTGTTGGTTATGAACCAGTGAAAGAAGTAAACTTTCAAACGACCGATTACTTCGAGTGCAGCAGACTAATAAAAAAAGGTAAATGTCGTTTTCTTTATGTAACACTTTGTTGAATTTTGTTATCAAATAAACAACATTTTGTTTACTTTAAAGTTCTAGAATAAATGAATTTACTGAATACCAACAGGAAAACAATGGTGTATATTTGTTTCTAAATCGAGATTAATAGCTATTTCATCGAATGTTACACATGAAAGAAAAACATCAAGATATAGCAGCATCAAATTTCTGTAACAGACTTCTGAAGGTCGACAAGGATTCCAAAGACTCCAAGGGACTCCATGGGATTGGAGTCTGCTGTTTCCCCCTTGCGCACATCCACCCCACACCCATCCACACCCACACCCTTAGAAGATGTAAAATACCCGATATTCAAACGTAGTACATGTGAGTTTTCCAACAAGTTCACACGCCGCAGATTTTTACCTTGTCTGACATTTTTTATAATAATACCCTGTATGCTATTCTTCAGTAAAGAGAATACTTGAAAATAGCTGTGGATTTTTTAAAAGTCACCTCTCTTCTTACGAGTAATTATGTTGATCTTTTCAAATTAATACGTGAGGAGAAAGTAGTTTTTCCCAAGAAAAAGCATCACGTCATCGTCCCAGTTCTAGATTATGGATACAAGTGGGTTTTTCTTTGCTTGTGCAGATGGTGTTTTAACACTTATGCAATGGTTGCTACCGACATATCTCCTTGCTGAAGTAGACTGTCCCGAACCGAATGGAAGTACGGCACTGTACACTACTTGTGAAAATAGTCACATTCACACTGTATGTCTGTTGCTCAAAAACGGAACTACCTGGACGTGGGTGTGAGTGTGGGTATGAATGTTGAGAAGCACACACTCACATCCGCATTCACACCGATATCCACACCCACACCACTGCATTTTTCATCGTTCGAAAGAGGAGATGAAGATGCATCGAATCGTATATTACATTTTTTTGGCATGACTTATTTACGGTTTTCAATAGACTTCTTTGAAAGGAAACCTACCCTGTGAAATGTTTACAGTGAATTCTTAATTATTAGGTATGTATGTAAACCGCTAAAGGAAGGTCTGAAAACTTGCACAAGATTCAAATATTTAAAATTGATCATTTTTGGGAGTTATAGATATACTAGTCGAAGGTATAAGTGATTTTTCTGACAATTTCTTTAAAACTCAGGTTTTTTTGCGGTTTTCTTTTCGATAAGAAACCATTTTTCTACACTAAGAAACTTGACTAAAGAAACTTCATATTACATGCTAGGAATAAATATAATATACTATTTGATGCCTCTTCATCACCTCTTTCGAACGATGAAAATCACAGCTCTCTAGTTGTTTCTGTTCTTGAGTTATTTCAAAAATGCCCATGCCCATTATTTTTTAAGCAGGCTCAAGTTTTACACAAAAAAGTTCTTATCCAAATTTTATTATTATGGCATTAGTTGAAGTATGATCAAATAGCATTGAGAAATAGAGCTTAGTTTCCTCTATCACCTAATAAAAAAAGAAAACTCCTTTGAGCTTACTATCCGAAAATCAGGTATCTCCGACAGAACATTTGGATTGACCCAAATAATTATACAATTTTCATTTATTCGTTCACGGTTGTGAATTTTTGTTCAAACTCTAATGAATCATTCTCTTTGATTCGTATGCCTTTGGAATCGATCTTTTTATCGGAATCAGTATTTTCAATATTGCGAAGATGGCCATAGTGCTTCACCATCCAAATAAAACCTAGGTGGAGCCACACACCAACAATGGCTCCGACAATTGGACCGACGATCGGTACCCAAAAGAAATAGTCATGTATACGAAATACCTCATTCCAACCATAGACAAATGCCCCAAAAAGACGTGGACCCAGATCACGAGCCTAAAGTATAAAAAAACCAACAAAATAATACTTTTCAAATTAACATATTCAATTTTCATACAGGATTAATTGCAGCTCCAGCATTAATTGAAAATGCACAAATAATGCCCGTAACAATTAGCGCATATGCAAATGGTTTGGCTGCGTTTGATATCATCTGATTAAATTCCTACATAAAATGACTTATCAATCACTCATCTATTCCAAGTTACTCGCTTACATGCGTAACTGCCATGATAAACACCATCAGAATAGCGGTACCGACAATCTGATCGATCAATGCATTCCACTGCGGTGTACCTTCGGCGGGCATTGTAAAGAAAATATCAGCTGTACCATTGGGACCTAGCATTTGTCGTATACCACCATCGAATTCATCGAATTGCTTCAAATAGACAAGATAGACTAGGGCGCCGCCTAAAAATGCACCCAATATTTGACCAATAACATAGAAGATACATTGTAATGGTTTCAGTTTTCGAAGAGTCATTAACGATATGCTCAAAGCCGGATTGAGATGTGCACCTAGAATAAGCAATCTTGAATTCTGTGAAATGCAGTGATGAGTCTTTCTCATACCAGTAATTGGTCCACTAAGCATCAGTGCTAGAAAAAACAAGAAAACAAATTAATGCATATATTTTTACGTATTAGGAAACAAAGAGTGATGGATTTGATTTCTGTTGAAAACCTGTGCTTCTTTGCAGTCTACATCCTGTGCTTCGATGGGTATTCACGTTGTCCCGATGAAATAAGGCTAGAACAGCGGTCACAAGCAAAGAAAAAAAGATTATTTTCATGGAGTTACTAAAATGAGATAAAACATGGTTGGTCGATCAAACGTATTATCGTCATGTTTAGCTTTCGTCAAGTTATGATTCTTAACAGAAATAACTAAAAATAGAGATTAGTTGCACTAAATCATTAACTAGCAAATTACTTAAAATTAGTATTAAATTACTCTTCTAAGTTAGTAGTGCCGACTGTTTTTAAAAATAACCTCCACCAGTTTTTGAATAACTCTCGATCACTTATAACTCTCGAGCTCTGGTTTTCGCCACCAGAAAAAGCAAGTGAGGGGATATCTATCTATATAAAATTCATAAGGTTTAAATAAGTTTTTTATGAATGTTTTTGAACGAACTTCTTTTTCGTTGCCCATTTTCATGAGTTTTTACAGCAATCTACGCTCAAATTACACCAAATTCTAGCCCAACACGACCTTTATTCCTGGTAATAGTTTTAAATCTCTCTATAGTTTATTTGAACCAATACTTCGAAGCTATAGTTTTAAAACTTGAAAATTTTACCAGGAATAAAGGTAGTTTGGGGCTAGAACTTGGTATAATTTGAGCGTAGATTGCTGTAAAAACTCATGATAATGGTCAACGAAAAAGATGTTCGTTCAAAAACGTTCATAAAAAACTTGTTCGAACCTTATGAATTTTATACAGATAGATGTCTCCTCACTTGCTCCTTCTAGTAGCGAAAATCTGAGCTCGATAGTTATAAACGATAGAAAGTTATTCAAAAATAGGTGGAGGCTATTTTTTAAAAAATCCGACAATAGTATTGATTATTATTCCCATTGACAAAATTTTCTGCGATCTNTTTTCATTGTTATGATTTTTCTTCTTGTAAGTGTCATTTATCTGCGTAAGTCATTATTGAGAGAACAATGAAAACCAAGATAAAATTTCCAACCATAAAAACCAAAGTATGATTGACAAGATTTAGTTATTTTGGACATATTATGATGGATGTTACAGTTTTTCTGAATGACTCTCGGTTACCTGTAAGAAACACTAATCAGGAAACAATGAAATCAAAGGTAAAATTTCCAACCATAAAAACCAAGGTATGTTTTGACAGGATTTTGGTTATTTTGGCCATATTATGATGAATGTTACATTGTTTTCTCGATGATTGTGATTGACTTGTAAGAGGGACTACTCACACAACAATGAAAATCAAGATCAAATTTCCAACCATAGAAAAGAAATTATGTTTTGACAATATTTCGATCATTTGGCCATATTATGTTGGATGTTACATTGGTTTTGGGATGATTGCAGTTTACTTGTAAGAAGAACTATTCACAGAACAGTCAAAACAAAGGTAAAATTTCCAACGATAGAAGACAAGTATGTTTTAACAGTATTTTGATTGTTTTGCACATGTTATACTGCATGATAGATTATTTTCGGGATGATTGTCATTGACTTGTAAGAAGAACTACTCACAGAACAATGAAAACAAAGGTAAAATTTCGATTAGTAAAGAGCTAGGAATATTTTGACTGTATCTTAATGAGATATTATACTTCAGCACAATTCTTGTGATATTGAAATAATGATCCATACACAGCTATCTTTGCTTCAAGAGAAAAATCGCAATAGGTATCATCTATCGCTTGATTTTTTCGGGTTATTGGTCACATTCTACTTAGGGGAGTAAATTCGTTTCATAAAAGCCTCAGGGTAAGTTCCCTAACATAGTCAATATTAGAATTTAGTTTTATGGTTGTCACTCGGCATTTATCGTTTTCTGACTGAATAGAACAAATTGTTTGCGTCGTTTATGAAAACGTGGGTCCACCAGTAACTTCATTTTTTGTTCATTGTGTGCTCATTATTGCAGTCTATGGCATGATATAAATATTCGTTGTTCGAAAATGTAATCGATCTCCTTGTCAAAGGTATTTTTGTTCTGCACCTTCATCTTTCCGCTGAATGTTCATCATTCCGCTAGCATATACTGGGATTATATTCTTCGAAAATTTTTTTTTCCATATCTAGAAAGTAGTTTTTGCAAGGGGGAAACAGCAGACTTCAGGACTTCATTGGACTTCGTTGGACTTCATTGGACTTCAATGGACTTAATTGGACTTCGTTCTTCTCTGAGTTCTGATGTTCATGCTATTGTAAAATCTGCTGCTTTCTGAGATAATCTATTAAAAAAACAAAGAACAAATATGATTTTAGTGATAAGACATGTGGCCTTTCGCAGAGACTATGCAAATGTTATTTAATAACCGTTCACTCAAAGAAAAAAAGTTTTTTTTTATTACTATCAGCATTTCGTGTATTTGCTTAAAAATGATCGAGAAAATGTAAAACCAATTAAAAAAACGAGTATATAGATATGAAAACAATTAATTACGTAAAAGATAAAATTTTAAGAAAACAATAGGTGAATTAGTAAGTAAAAAAAACCTTGATAAAAAATGTTTCTGAATGAGATACGAGCAAAGAAATAATACGAGAAGTATAAACAAGACGTTCTTTTTGCTTCTTTTCTCGTATTATATGAAGATTCTATTGAGTTAAACTTTCTTTTTACTTTTCTTTTAGTTTTTAATGATGATGATGACGATTTTTCAATAGTTTCATGATCATCTGTTGATATTGAGATAGATGATGATGTAGAAAATGTTGAATTTGATGGGATTGTGACTGATACTGATGCGAAAGGTACAAAATTCAGTGATGATGATCCTTGATGTAGCACAGTATTTGGAGTTGCAAATGATTATTGATTATCTGCTGTTGTTGATGACATTAATTGATGAAGTTTTATTATTTCTTTTATTGTATTACATGTATTACCATTACGAAAGTCTTGTAAGTGTCTGTAGAAGTTCGACAGTTGAAATTTACCACGGAAAATTGTCAATGATAACGATTTTTTACAACAGCATTTTATATTACCTTTTAATGCACCACTTACATCATCAAATATCGAAATAAAATAATGTTGACCTTCAACTAAAGATAATTGTGATAAATCAAATTTTGATTTATTTTTTTCGCACCAGCTATTCAATGTATTAATTGGATATGTTTTATGTTCATTAATTGATAAATTAGAAGACTTTGATGTTATTATTTCTGATGAACTATTGGATGGAACAGACGACGTTGCTTTTGTTATTGTTGATGATGTATCTGTGGTTTTATCTAGTGATGATAATAATTGATTACGTTTGGGTAATTTAGCTAATTTTGCGTCATCAATACATTTTTTCTTTAACAAATCAATAAGGTATTGTACATTTCCTTTTATTCCAGGTTTAATAACAAGTGTACCATCGTCTTGCATATAACCATATTTGTGTTTAAAATCATTTAAACTGTTACTGTTCAAGTCCATAATAGAGAAAACATTATCTGTCATCAGCAATGACTTGACACAATTAATACCTTGTACTTCAAGTAGAGCAGCAGCAGCATCACCGGCATCTTCTTTAACGAAGTCAATAAATTTATCATCACGTAATGACATGACATTTGGTGGTAATACAGATGTATCAATAAGAACATCTAATTGAAACATGTTTGATTATTAATTATTTATGAAAACAAATTTCTCTAGAAAACGATGTAAGTGAAAAGGAAGAAAATGTAATGGATATCATCTATGACATGACTTATGATTCAGGAATATAATCAGCCAATAGCTTCTGAAGTTGCGTTCTCTATATTATTGTGATTAATATTTCGTAATTTTTAGCGACATTCCATCTTTTACGATTATGTATGTTTTCTTCAGATTATCGACATATGATTCATCACAGCTGTTTATCAGCTGGAATTTTTCTCCAAAAACAAATGTCGTAAATCTTAGTCTCTGAACACATTCTAAACTACCATTATCGAACTCATTTTTCTATTCTTTTTCTAGATAAATAAAAAAATTCGTTATTTTCTTCTTATGGATGATACATTGACAGAAAATGTTTTTTCTTTAAAAAACGATGACTTTTTTGGTTTTATTCAAGCATTAGTTGGACAACAAATGGTAGATATTCTGAAATTTCAATCAATTACATCTACACAATCTCTTATTCGAAATCCGAATATCTTCGATATATTTAATATGGAGTGTTCGGAATCCAACTTCTTAATGACAAGAGATAGATCATGTTTTCAGCTTGATAATGGAAAATTTATTGTAAAAATTGGGTTAATAAATAATTTGAATTGTTTATTGGATTTTTTAAAACAACAACAACAAAAACAAATTATGGCAAGCAGTTATGTTGATGCTAATCCCAGCTTATCATTTGATTTTATCAATAAACATCCATTGTTACAAAAATTAATTACTTGGTATCAGCAAATTGGCACTGAGAATAAAGATAATGAAAATAAGCATGGATTTTTAAATCATTTTATTGATACTATCGCTAACAATTTAACAAAGTCAAGCAATAATTTACGATATAGTGATACAATCAAGAATTTTGCTTTATCGTTATATATATTAGGTGGAAAGTTGACGTATGAATTCATTAGATTAAATTTACCTGGATCTTTACCTAGTTTAACTATGTTAAATATGTTAATTTCAAACTCAAATTCAAACATCAGTGAAGCCGAATTTTGATTCGACCAACTTCAAAAACATTTTAATGATTATAATGTTCAATACGCATTCGGCTCGGAAGATACTACTGGTATAATTAAAAATATAAAATATGATTCAACAACAAATACATTCAATGGATTTCCTCACCACTTGATCATGGAGTACCAATTAAAGAATATTATCAAACTAATTCATTTGATACATTGAAGCTATGGTTTAATTCAATTGATAAATCATCTTTACTGAATGTACATATGATTCAACCAGTACAGTCCACAAATCAAAGCATTATTCCAAGTCCCTTTTTATTATCAGCATATGGAATTGATAACACAGCTACAGCGAATGATGTATTACAAAGATGGTGGATATATTCAATCAATGCTTACAAAGAAATATAAGAATTATTGGTTTTTCTACTGGTGAGAAAATAACTAAATATTGTTAATTCAAATCTTACTCTAGAGTAACTTTTTTTTATAGATGCTGATGCTAAATATCTACGCGCTATGAGATTAATGAGTGTTTTTTTTGGGTCTCTTCCTAATTTTCAAGTTCATCAACATCCGCAAGCTTTCCAAATAAAAACAACATTACGCTGGCCTTGGTTTTATCTACGTGAACAACAACTACTATTGTTTTTTCAAGACTCAACTCATATGGTTACAAAATGGCGTAATCGTTTATTATCATCAACAGCTGAATTATGTCTTGGTAATCAATTTATATTGATCAGTCATTTACATGACATTATCAATAATGAAACTTATTCTAAACTTGACCATGGCTTAACGAAGTCTGACATTAACCCTAAATATCGTCAAAACTTTAGTTCTTGTTTGAAATTAACATCTGCTGATCTATTTAAAATTTAAAATGATGATGTTAATACTCGGGGAACCCTGATTTATCTTCAGATGTTAAAAATGATTATATTGGCTTATGTTGAGAAAAAAACAACTATTGCTGAACGTAAATAGGCCTATTTATTATTTTCACTGAATGCGAGCGGAAAACTCTTCATTCAGAACAAGTCACATATAATAATATTTTATTTTTAGGACTAAGATATGCTTGGTGTGTGGTATTTTTCTGTCGAATATGGTTTACATGAATCAAATTCAAAACATTCAATTCAACGCAAACTACAGAAAACAGTAAAAGCAGATATTTCATTACTAGATCAGCATTTCTATCGGTCGAAATAAACGCACATAATTTGTTATATTTAATTTTACTTGTCCAGCAAAAACGTCTACCACCACATGCGTTACGTATTTATATTTTTAATTCGGAAGCTTGCGAATCGATTTTTAGAAACACGCGAGCATTAAGTGGAATCTACTCATCTATCATCAACTTTACAGTACATGATTTTTTACGACATGCTCAAAGATTGTCTTTATTGAATGAAATTAAATTTAAACAGTTAAATAATGAATCAGATAATAATTTGGTCTTGCGAGTTCATCATAAACATCGAAATGATCGTCAATCATCATTTACACAAAGTCAAAGTGAGATTGATCAAATAGATATCGAACGAATTATTACTGAAGCCTACCATGAAGCTATTGACATGCTTGATGGTTTAGAAATATTGAATTTGCTGGAAAAAAAACGTGTTCTTAGCTTAGAATTATTAAGCGAATATGTGTTTAAACAGTAAAATTCAACTTCAAAGATGTATGACTACTCATCTCAACTAAGAAATATAGATGATGGACAATTTGAAATAGCTGATGATGATGAAGATGAAACAACCGATGATCTCAACATAGATGATGACAATAATGATAGTTTTTCCTCAAATGATGATTATAGTGATGACGACGAAAAAGACGATACTCGAGATTGAATAAACACGACAAAAAAGACTTTACTGGAATGAAAGTCTTTAATAAGATCGAACCTCACATAGAATAATCTTATTTTAAAGTCACAATAAATAATGATACGAAATATTTACATAAACAGACTGCTTGTTGGTTATTAACAGGTGACAAAAGTAAACTTTCAAATGACCGGTTACTTCGAGTAAAACAAACCAATAAAAAAGAATAAATAAATGTTTTTTTCTTTATGTAATATTTTGTTTGATTTTGTTTTTAAATAAGCAGTATTTTGTTTAATTTAAAGTTTTAGAGTCAGTGAATGTGCTGCACACAGGTAATAGAAAGATGATGTGCACTCGTCTCTAAATCGAAACCAATATCTGTCATATTTGACGTAACTATTGATGAAAAGAATCAAGACACAACCGTTTTAGATTTCTATGATGGACTTATGAAGAGCTGCTAACGATTTCAAGAGATTTTGAAGGACTCCAATAGACTCCAATAGACTTCAATGGACTTCAATGGACCGAAGTCCGCTGTTTCCCCCTTGGTAAAAAAAGTGTCACTGCCACTACTTTTGGTATGCCCTAAGTATATCTCTTTGATTTTCACGATGCAATGGACACGGCCGGTGTTGCTGCCACTGAACAGAGTTTCGTATTTCCAGTTGAAAAAGGAATCTCTCCTAACAGGTACTTGTAGAAAGATAAATATTCGCGAAGAGCATTCTGTATTGTAGCCAATCCTACGTTTGGAAAACATGTATGGTTCTTCCAGCCAAAATCATCACAGAAAAAGACCGACAGGAAACGTTCTTTCGCCGTCATAGTGATATAACGATTGGCTGCCGATGCTACGCGCGCCATATGATTGATAACCGTCATTCACGCGAAGCATTCTATAGTCTCATGTCTTTCAAGAAGGAAAGCTGGTCGATATCTCTGGAAAATCTACAGGTCATGTTGCAGGCATATCGTGAAAAGGTGAATAATGAAAAGCATCTCAATCTCGATGACCGTGTCTGTTTCTCTGATACCGAATACAAGACACTTACTGGGTTCACCCGCGCTGAACACGACACGATATTATCATGAACACCTATAGCTGCTTTAAAGAATGCCATTACCAGATCAGCTCGAAGAGCTTTGGCATATCTTTTGATGACATTGAAACTAGGCTTAAGTGATTCACCTGTAGCTGTCATGATTGGTGTCAATTATAAGAGACACATGAACCATATTATTTCCAGTGGACGAGTTGCGCTCGCGAAATCTTTTGTTCCACATTATTCGAGATAAGGCCATATGTCACGAACAGATGTCATCAACAAGCAAACCTCGCTTATTACCAGTGTTACGCTCAGAGCGAACCGTAATCTGTGCATACTGTTGCTCGACGGAAAAAAACTCTCATAGTAGACGAGTCTGTCGCATAAATCCCGTCTGAACACTCCTTCTTCGTCCACCTTCGACTTTGCTCAAATCGCAACAACCCGATTGCGGCTTATTGTCACACATTACTTACCACCATTTTAAAGGCCAAACTGTCCTCTATCTATGCTGTAAAAATCACTCTGGTTCACTACTGGAAAGGTATGCTGGTGTAGGATGATTGGAAGTATGATGATGGTACACGTAATGGAAGTTCGCTATGAATTTGGATTATTTGACATATGAGTGGATAGAGCACTGTGAGGGCCCGACAATCATCGTTTTCTGCTCAATTAGGAATAGTTTGAGTTTCAAATACGTTTGGCACGAAAGAAAAGACGTTTCTTGAGCACTTTTCGCATAGGGCCGATTTATGATCAAACCCGCCTCCATCCTTTCAAAAAGGACTCCATATGTGTATCGTTTGGCTTGACGACAATTGTTGGCGATCCGATTTGATAGTTTTTGTGGTGTTATATTCGAGGTTCTTGATTCCTTTCTACCTAAATAAAGAAGGTTCATTACCTGTTTCGATTCATTTTGAACACGAACTATCATTGATCGATGTTGTGGATGATGATAACGACATTCATGCCAAGCAAAATGATGTTTCATTATGTCGAGTAATAATGATCGAAGATCTTCATCATCATAAATGAACCGTTCATTGATCGATAGTTCCAGCGGGTTAATTGTCTACAGTTAAAAAATGACTAGCGATGATACCCATCGTTGCCGGGGATATCTTTTACTATTGTTCAATATAAAGAAAAATATTAACAAATTGACTATCACTGGAATACAGTTTTCATTTCAAAGCTGTTTGATAAACAATGTTCTTAGTTTTCGCATAAAAAGCAAATCCATGTATGGAATAACAAATTTCGCAAAACTTTCGCAACACAAGGTAGTCATCAACGTATCTGAGTTTACTTTTTCTTTCATTCTGTTTCATCATCTAGTTGAATAAATATATTACTTTGTACAGAATGCGTCAAAACAAAATTAACATTGATTCAGCGATTATTCGAAAGAAAATTCTACCAGAAATGAAACGACGTGTTACTCATCGATGGCCTCACATTCATTTAAATCCACACAAAGAATAACACCCAATCTATACCTTGGGGATGCGAAACTTGCTCGAAGTAAATATTTTCTTGAAAAAAATAATATCCATGACATAATTAATGCTACTACTGACGAGCCAAATGCTCATTCTGAATCATACGAATATCTGCGTGTAAATATCGACGATGAACCAAGCGAGCAAATCCATCCATTTTTTCAACAAGTTTTCGAATTCAATCGGCGATATCATAGCCTTGGTCAAAGTGTTTTGGTTCATTGTCAAATGGGTATCTCAAGAAGTGCAACACTCGTCATCGCATATCTGATGATTGATGGACACAAGACACTCGGCGAAGCTTTTCAACAAGTCAAAAGTGTGCGACAACAGATTGATCCTAACGAGGGTTTTATTAAACAATTACGTGCACTGGAAATATCATTATTTGGCCAACGAATGACTCTGGAACGTATTTCCTTTCTCGATCTTACCATCGAAGAATCACCGAAAATTGTTATAGGTAGGGTGCTTATGGTTCTTGAAGACTTCGTCACCGCTTTTGCTGGTGATGCATCTCCGCAGACCCTCGATATGCTCAAAGAAAAGCTGCTCAGATTAGCTTCCAAAGTCAAGCACGATGATGTCACCGATTTATTGTCCAAGGGAATTTACAAATGTCTGCGATTCTTTGAACATGATCATTTATCAGACCAAGAAGTAAGAATTGGTCTACAACAAGGACTTGCTACTTTGTGCACCTTCTATAACGTCGATATTAATGATTATCTGGAAGCAGTAACTAATACGAAAGAATGGAAAGATCTCTGCATTGATAGACGGTTAGCAAATCGATGGATGAATGATTTACGAAATCAATCGAATCAACAATGCAACAATTATGAGAGCAACAAGACTAGAGATTAGCGACACCAGTAAAAATTCACTTCCATGGCATATTTCGTTAGAGCATTTACGATATTCACTAGCAGCAGATATTTTTGATGCCACATTCGTTCTTCTGTGAAATGTCATCTGAATAAATATCGAACATAACATATTTTCGTATTGGTCTATTCCCACGAATTCCTTAGAAATTCTATTACTAAAACACGAGACGGCCTCTAACAACAACACATTTTGGTAATCAGTTCAATTATTTATCCGTATTTTATCTCGTCTTTTTGGGTGACTACTTTGAGTTCCTTTTGAGTAACCAAGAAAATCTTATTCATACTTTTTCGATGAGCTATTGTGACCATAGCAAAATGGAATATCAAGACACACGTTGCATCAGAGAACAAATGTTCCGATTGTTTTAACACTGATAAGTTAGCTTTTGTGGCAAAAGTTATCTAGTCATTGTCATGGTATAATTTGCATTAGGATATCAGTCCTTAGTGATTTATCAGAGGCACGAAGCGGAAATGTTGTTAAAGCCCAATGAAGAATCGAACTTGTTGGTTTATCAGTGGCTGCGGTGCGTCGTTTAACTTGCTGATGAAGTTGGATTACTTCATTCGGTTTAGATTAGGAACACGGTTGTGTGATGTAGGTTGACAGAGAGCGAGAAACAAATACCCATAGATAATCTTGTGTAAGAGCAAGCTTACAGGAAATCAACCGACTGTTTGATTTTCTTCGCAACTTCGATTTTGTCACTAAATAATAAGGATTATGAACTCTTTTGCAGGTTAGAATGTCAAAATTTATAAAACTTTGTCGAATAAAATCAGGGGTGAGGGTGATGATGAGATAAATGAACTAGCCATATCGATCTGCTCTGACACCCACAACGTTATCGTGTTAGCCACTAATACACCGCTCCCGATACGCTCTCATCCGAGTTAGTTGCGTAAAAAGGAGCACAGAGATTTGTCCATGGTGATGGTGTTGCAATGTGTACTTTCTTCTTCCGTTCTGCCTCTATGTAAACAGTATCAAAAAGAGTCTTTCACGCTTTCTCTTCTGTAAGTGCATGAAGAAGGTGACTTCACACTGTTCGCTCACTCTTCTGAAACAAATAAAAAATAGAAATCGTAAGAGAATACAGACATTTTATTTATTCTCTGTCGAAAGTAAAGAACGTATTCAATGGTGACGCGGTGAAGAAAAAACACACACAGCAGAAATGTCGTACTTTTCCAGTCATGGAGACAAACTGAAAGTGAAACTACTTAGAAGACAAGAATTATCACCTTCGAAGAATATGACCACATTTGTTAGATCATCATCATTGTGCACCAGATCGACCGATAACATTGCTCAAGCGAATGCTCCATCACGAGCCTCTTCTGTGCGATCTCGTCTTTTCGACCGTGAGCTACTCAACCTTGAGTCACATCAGTTGGTCTGGTGCGAAACCGACGTTCACGGTGGTACTGCTAAAGATGCCACTCTCGCAGAACTACGTGAAATTGTCGACTACACCAGACTTTTCGACAGTAATGAATCCTGTAAACATTATCTACAACAGACGCAAAATATAGTGTCCTTCCTAGTCTGTTCCTACGAGATCGGTGCGCTATTGATCCCAGAGATTCATCACTTGCACAACATTCGCTCAATTTACGTCTATTCTCATTATAGTGAACATCACCAACCGTGGTTGAATGCATATGCGAAGGTAAGATTAAAACTGAACTTTCCCGTAATGCAAGATAGTTTTCACTAAGGTCAAGCAAGTTTATACAGATCGCAAATCCCTACTTCAAGCACTCGGCAGTGATGTAAAGAAGTACCTGGAAAAGGAGAAGGACGCACTGTTTGGTAACTTCGGCAAACATGACAGAACCACAGAATCCGGCTCTGGTTCATGGTGGGTTACGTTTATGGACGCTCTGTGCCACTTACCTTATCCTAGAGAAGCGTGCCATCAGCGTCTCATTACTGAACTACGAACTTACTACGACGGAAAAGTCGAAGAGTTGCGTGTCATCGACGAATTCGAGCGTGATTATACCTCAGACAAGGCCGTTTGGTGGTATACACGAGATACTTTCTTTTTTCGCTTAATCAATAGAGCTAATCGACAGCACAACGTCAGAGTGATGTTTGCATTCGGCTACTACGTCAAGGATCTATTCCTCCAGCTGAAGAAAGAACACGAGATCTTCAAAGCCACACATACAGACAACAAGCAAGTGCAAGTGTTTCGAGGACAGATCATGTCTGAGGATGAAATTGAAACATTAAAGTCAGCCTATATGGTAAGACTAACGAGTTTCCTGTCAACATCACTCGATCAACGTCTAGCGCTCAGTTTCCTTCCGCCTGCTTCCTCGGTGGTAGATGGTTGCGTCCGAGTATTGATAGAAATTCACCTGAACGCCAACTGCAACTCCAAACCCTTCGGAAATATTTCCCATTTGAGTGAGTTCTCTAACGAGAACGAAGTACTCCTCATGATCGGAACGTTTCTTCGTATTCGGAAAAGCAATTATGCTGAAGAAGAAAAGATTATCAAGTTGATGCTAACCTTGGAAAATGATTATATCCTGCCATTCGATAATAGACATAGGAGTCTGAAAGAGTGCGTTAGTACCATGGCTGAAAAAGTGTGTGAAGCTGCTTCAGAAGAGGAGATTAATATCATTTTCGATGAAATCGATGAATTATTTGCTTTAGAAAAAGGACAGCTGGATGCCGAGAGGTACAGAGCCTTAGGTGGGTGTTGCGAAGGATATGGTCGAGAAAACTACATCGCGGCACTGGGATACTACAAACAAGCGCTTTCAATCTGGCAGAGATATCCTCAGGAAAGTGGTGTCGAGATTGCCAATCTTTATGTGAACATAGGTCGCCTGTATTACTATCACTTAGAAGAAGACAAATTGGCTCAGGAGCATTATGATTCTGCAATAGCTATCTGCAAAATCACTGTGAATCACTCACAAGACGACGAAAGACAAAAAGTGGCGTTGTACCAGATCTTATCGGCGGTTTACTTAGAGAAGGCAGAGATGAACGATCAGAAGGAAGAAGAACGAACTGCTCTCCATTACGAACAACTTCGCCTTCAAGCTCTCCTCAAATTTTGTTCACCTAGCGATAGAGAACTGGGTCTCTGCTACACGAGTATTGCTGAACTTCAGCAAAAGATGGGCATTTTTGACGAGGCTCTGGTGAACTACGATGAAACCTCTAAGGTATATGTCGCCCAAAATGACAATGAAGCCTTGTCTCGCACTTACCAGCGCATATCCCGCATCTACGAAGATGATCTCAAGGATCTCCCATCGGCATTAAAATATCGACTTTTTAAACACCACGCAACAGTGCAGAGCAGTGAAATACTTCCATTTTACGACTCGCAAGAGATTGAAGATAGGAAGCACAATGTGATTCAGAGTCACCTACAGTTAGCTGAGCTTCACCTAAGATTACGTGACTTTGAAGCAGCTCGTAAAAGCCTGACAGCAGCCAAACAACTCTATGAAGATATGGACTGGAAGAACCAAGTCAAGGATATTGACGAGCGATTCACAGTCATTAATCGCTTAGAACACGACTCAAAATAGATTTCGCACAATCTTTGATTGGGTAGCTTTTAACACTACTAAGTTTAACTTACGAGGTAACACCATAGGGTGCTAAAATGCTTTTCGATTACCAGTATGTGGAATCGATTGACCTATCTCTTGAATGCCATTCGTTTCCGCGAATAAAATGGATAGAAAAACGAGAGATATTACTTCTTATAAACCATTAGGCATTGAATTGTACATCAGTATTGAAAAAGCTAACACCTTTGAAAGGTGTTTGTTCAGTTCAGTAGAACATCCAAAAGACCTTGTTAACATAAGTCTTTTTCCAGTTCTTGTAGCTAACTTAATGTCAAATGTCGTCTTAGTTAGAAGTAGATGATAAATCTGCGAAATACGTCGATCGATCCTCTATCATCATCATAGAGATAGGTCAATCGAATTCACATACTGGCAGTCGAAAAGCGTTTTAACACTCTTTGATGTTTCCTCGTTCGTTTACTCTGACATCCGTGTGCGTTTGTGTGTTGAATATCTCCTTCCAGTTATTCTATGAGTGGTATCTAATACTCTCTTACTTGATTGACAATTAGCGCAGGTATCGGACATTGTCCGGGCCAATCTCACATTTTCTCTGTGACAGATAAAAACTTACATAAATTATGAAACTGAAATACAGTTTTTTATTTCAAAGCAGTTGGATAAACAAAATTTCTAGCTTTCGCACCAGGAACAAATACATGAAAATTCTTTTCAGTTCGGAACCTTGAACACGTCATGTAATGTTGACCGTGCGAAGAGCAGGCAATCTACAGATTAACATATTCGACACGGCTGCACCCACCGGCAAGTCACACATAAAACTTCATCAGTTCTACCTTTTATATTTAATCAATCGTTTATTAGAAACGGCGATGCTTTTGATTAAAACAATTAAAACAAAAAATGTTCCCTTTTTTTGCAGCTACACGACCCGCTTCTCTTGATTTTTGTTACTAATTTTCACGTAGCATCCAGTAGATCCTTCTTTTTCTTCGAGCTGGTGATCAGCAAGCTTGCGCTTTGTGTTGTATATGGATTGTTGTCTTAGAACCGACTTCAGACCTCACACGACTTCCACGAAACTTCAGAATAATCATATTACTTGCTGAATAGGGCTCTTTGTATATCAGATAACTATTCACTATAGCCGTCCCAAAAATCAATTCAAATGCCACCTTTCGGTACCGCTTTATAGATTGCCTGAGGCATGTCGAATATGATAATAGTTGGTCAGATACATCAGTGCCCTCTCTTCCTTTATTATAATCTACTACAACTTGTGGCTTCATAATTGACTTATATTGAAAATATGTTTTTCCAGTGTCTACCATAGCTGCTAAATGCGAAGGCTTTGTGGATATCATCAGAACAGCTTTCTTGTCTTTCCACATGATCAATTTCATGCCTTCTTTATTCTGGAATCCGTGCCCTTCGCCACGCTTGAGCTTTTTTCTGAAGAAATACTTTTCAACGTTCCAGTAAGATATGTATCATGTGGCAACAAATGTTTTGTAAGGGAAATACTGGTGAAGAAGTTGTCAACTACCCACAATCCGATAACATCTCGAGAGACCATTCAATAAATTCATCGCGACTGTCTCAACATGTCCATGACCTGTCATTGAATCTTGCTCATCAGTATAGATCAAATAATCCCACGTATATCCGTCATTTGCTGTTAGCTTGTACGTCTTTACCCCATATTTGTGTGCTTGCTCAAGTATTTATTGTTTGAACAAAAGTCTGCCTCGCCATGTTATCATTGTCTCATCGATTGTAATAACTGCATCAGACATATATACAGAGAAAAATCTGACTTCCACTACGTCCAAAAGTGATTTCAACTTGAATGATCTATCTTGGTTCGAATGGTACTTATGGTTGTCTAACAAATGCCAGAATTTAAGGAGTAATTCAAACCTATCTCACGCTAATGTATTTCGAATAATCTCGGATCCATATATCTAGCAATTACTTTAGTAGTATTCTAATTTTGGCATTTGTACCAGCCTCATCCCAATAATGATTCCAAACAAACTTGAGCATCTCTACATCGGTAGTCGGTTTTCATTGACGATTTCTTTTACTGTCCGTTAATATCCTGTGTTTGCAAGTATTGTATTGCACATTGATTAGTTTCACGAACGATAAGGTCAATCATTTCGTCTGTGATGAAATAGCAATAGAAATCGATGGGAAGAATTGCATTATGTCCTGATGCAGAAATTACTTCTTGAATGAGGCCATCAGATTCTTGGAAAGACACGTGAACAAATTCAAAATCTCTGGTACTTTTATACATAAAAGGATAGAGAGACAAGAACAATGGAGAAAATCTAGGAATTTTCTCCTCTTATATTATCTGTGCTACACATAAGATGTGAAAGAAGAAAAAAAAGTTGACCTCCGAAATTTTCCCTTTAATTACAAAAGTAAGACTCTTTATTTGATGATATAAAGAAGCGAAAGATGACTAATGAGCAGAAAATAATAAAAAGGCGATTAAGTAGATTTGCTACAAGTTAATTCTCAATACGAATGAAAATTTCGAAGAAAACTAAATCGGGTTGAATGTAATATGCAAGCAGAGTAACTAGTGTTCTTCAATGAGAAAGAACAATGTAAAAGATACGCGAATTATGGCTAAATATGTTTTTGCGAACGCATCTGATCCAAGTACCAATTTGAGGTGATCATATATCAAGATCAATGAGAAAAACGAGTGAAAACTCTGTTTGACTATAGGTTAGTGAATAGTTATCCACTTCACAGTGATTCTGTCATGTGCATTGTAAAGAATTGCGAATGTTTCGCGAAATGGAATATCGGGTCCCTTGATATAGCATCAAAAATGGATTTTAGATCATCGATACATCAAACTTGAAATCGGTCTCAGTTTACCGAAACATGAATTGTAAGGTATTTTCGTGCGGAATCACCTACATCATTGAGTGTTGATAAAATGGCCTTTTCAAATGTTTCGAAGAAGGATCAAAGTCAAGTGTCTTTGTCTTAACAGAGCACTGATGATATGTTGATTGAATCGGAATGATAGGTCATAATAAAACATGCCTGTTTGACATCGATAATCAAATCAGAATCTCATGCGACAAATGCATTTTTTTATTCATCGTTGCCTTGATGTGCTCAGATTTATCGTAGTTGTGGATATGGGTGAGATCAGAATGGAATTACACACATTTTTTAGATAGTACCAATGCTAGTCTTCAAGATAGACAATTCTGATTTGATCTACCCTGTTGATGATTTTCGCCGGTCAGAGTGTACAGTTACGTAGACAAGCCGTTATGCTTTCTCTATAGCAAGAACTGTGATAAAGAGATTAGATCGTTATTTCTATTTATTACACATGCTTCTGCTAACTAGAAAAGGTCATTCATTTTTGCTGCAATCTGAGTTAGAATAGGTTCAAAACGAGGATCGATGATAATCGATGGGTCCGTTTGTATTTGATTCATAACATAGGCAAAAGAAAAATTCTTCGCTGGTGCTGCAAACCCAATACTTCCACCAGCTCCTATATAAAAAAGAAAATAGAATTCATTGATAATTTTATCAGAAATTTCTTATTTACCGTGATGACCGAATGTTCCCGGTCCAAAATCTGGAAGAACCCAATCATATTGATGAAAACCCATGCCAAATACGGAATAATATTGGAAGACAAGATCTATTTCATTTAAAGGTGTGTTTGACTTTGTTGCAAGCTTCATTATACCATTGTCTAGCAATCTGTCTCCAGATCTATTGTCGAAATCCCCAATAAGAGATGCATAGAGTCGTGCAATCGACCAAGCATTTGACATTCCAATTGCAGCTGGTATTTCCGCTTGATGTATTTGAGGATCGTTCCATATGTCGAAATAAACTAACATTGTCTCGTTCAATATACTCTTCACATTTGGATAAGGAACAACTGGTGATATCCGATATTGAAGTTCAGGTGGCAGACCTATATAAAATTCAATCTGTAGTCGATCGGCAATTTCATCTTTAACAAATTGCCCGAAAGATCTTTTCATTGGATCAACACGACGAACAAGCTCGCCAGCTAGCCATCCATAGGTAACTGAATGATAACCATGTGTTGTTCCTGGAGTCCATAATGGTTTCTGTTGTTCTAATGTATGAATCATTGCTGTCCAATTGGTGTACTGTGCAACTGGAGACGATATGTAAGGCAATCCAGCACGATGTGATAGTATATCAGCGACTGTTGTATTCTCCTTACCATTTTGTCCATATTCTGGCCAATATTTTGTAACTAATGCTGAGTAGTCAAGTAAACCTCGTTGAACACAAAGTGCAACAGTTACGGCAACTAAACCTTTTGTTGTCGAAAATACTAATTGTAGTGTATCATCATCATAGGATTTAGTACGTAATTCATCTACCCATCCACCTGTGAGATTGACAACTAATTCACCTTGAAGATAAATAGCTATAGATGCACCTAGATCTTGTTCATGTACAAAATTTTCCATGAATAAATCACGTACGAATTCCCACCCATGAGCGGTTGTGCCATATATATTGTAATCAGTTGCAATGTAGCAAGGAATAATTGACAATGAAGAGATCAAAATCAATGTTGAAAACATCATTGTTCGACTGTACGTTGAAGTATTGGGGATAAAAAGCAATAGTAAAAATTGTTGACAAGAAGAAGATTAGTAACCAATGTATGTGTGCGTGCAGGCAAATGTCAGATTCGAAAACGAACACGGATTATTGCGGATTTTCAAGCAATCGAATTCATATGAAAAATAAAAGACAAATAGACAGAACTATGTAGGCATTGTTTTACGATAGTATATCACGTCTTAAGGATTACGTTCGAACGATGTTCAGATATATCCAGGAAAAAAGAATACAAAATAACAATAAAAAATGTATCAATGCGTCACAGATATCTTTTTAATCGATATTTTTCTCAATCACCGTTAAATGGGATCATGTTTCTTACTAGAATGTAAAATCGAAAAAGTCCACTTGGTTTTGGTTGTACAATCGATTGATGATAGCTTCGATTAACATTTGAGTACACGAATGTGCATCATACAATTTAATGTGAAAAGGTAGAGTTCGATTGATCTTGAATTAAATATTGTACACTAGGAGAGTTACTTTATCTTCATTTTCTAAATGAGAATAAAGAAACAGAAATCTTTATCTATATATCGGCCTGGCCAAACGTCACCCACGGACATTTTTCCGCAGATCACCACAATTATCTCATGATCATGGAAGTGTTTAAGGCTGACATTTAGCTTATAGATAGTACTCAATGAATTCTCTATCCTGTAACATTTTCCATGATGGTCACCTCTTCGCATAGTATCTTCATTTTCGAAGTATGGACTAACAGAAAGCGAGAAAGTGAAAAAGATCTTTGTAACGCATGGACTCTTGTTCTCAATTCGTTTCATAGGTGAAATTTCTGTCGCAAACGTTGAATACAATTGTACATTTATCCATGATTAAACACAAAATATTTTCAATATCTGTAGAGTTCTAAGATCGCCATAAATGATATATGCATAGGTTTTGAATGAGACTATGTATGCAGAAGATTGGAATTTATTTTCTTTAAAAAACGAACGATCACTTCTTTTTCGCGTTGTCGAGTAAAAATTCAAGTATGTAACTGATTTCTCCTTTGTACTGACTGCCCTACCGGCTACAAATTTGGGAGAGATAGAAATTGATATTTCGCATCGTTTCGAAGCAATTTTAGTGGAAACTTTATAAGTCTGCGTGTGGATTGATTTTAGCGCCTATCGACTCCCGTTCTTTTCTAAAATTCAAACGTTACCACGACAGAAATGCAAGACTATACCAAGTCTTCTCAACATCATATGCTCCATGTAATATTCCACCATCTATCGTCCTTTCACCTCATTGGTGGATATCGACTGTTGGTTTGTCTTGAAATTATAAAGAACAGCTATCTGTATCCTCAACACTACAAACACTGCTGAATCTGATCTCACATGGCTACTAAACCTCTTGCTATTATTACAGGAGCAGCATCTGGCATTGATAAAGCTGTAGCGCAACAGTTAGAAAAAACACACTCCCTCTTACTGATCGATCGAACAGAATTCGGCGATGATCTACAAGGTGAAACACTCCAGTTCGATGTTGGGCAGGCAATAGAATGGCAAACATTGAAAGATACGATCAACGGCCGATCCATCGATTTCGTTATGCTTAACGCTGCTGTTGGATTCAAGTCTTCGTGGACTAACCCAGACGATTGACGTAAAATGATAGATACTAATCTGTTTGGTGTAGCCAATGGAATTGCCACTATTCTTCCATTGATTGAAAATCTAAGTACAACGGTTGTTATCACTGGGTCAAAACAAGGCATTACGAATCCACCAGGAAATCCTGCATACAATGCTTCAAAAGCTGCAATTAAGTCTGTCGCAGAAAGTTTATCTTATGATCTACGTAAGACCAATGTCAATGTGCATCTTCTTATCCCAGGATATACATACACAGGAATGACACGAGGTAATTCGACTAGCAAACCAGATTCAGCATGGACTCCGGATCAAGTTGCCTCCTTTATGTTCGAAAAAATCAAGCATAAACAGTTTTACATCCTCTGTCCTGATAACGATGTGACGAATGAAATGGATCATAAACGTATGACTTGGAATTTACGCGATATCACAGAAGGTCGTCCTGCTCTTTCTCGATGGCGAGAAGAAGCTGCAGCAGATTTCGAAAATTACATGAAACAGTAGTTTATCTTGCTTTTGTCTTTTCTTCATTCTTTATGCCTTTCATTTCTTTCCACTTCCGAAAATGCTGTTTTAACCCTTATACTGACAACATGTGTTTTTATTAAATGATCTTTTACTTTTTAATCAATATTTTGACACGATCTGATGTTTTCTTGCTCAACCTAATACAAAAGATACGTTTGACAGAATGCTCACTACAAACGAACGAAGAACAATTATAAGATTGAGTTGATACTTTCTTGTCCATAGAACGTTCACAAATTGAGCATCGTTTTTGTTTTGGCTGAGTAGAATCTTCATTTTACTGTGACGAATTCTTGTTCGACACAGGTTAGCCCACAATGGCTCATGAATTTTGAATATCTGTGTTCAAAAATTTCGAGTTCTTCGAACAAGAACCTAACAGAGGGGATACCAATGCGAATCCTAATTCTTCTAAAAATAATCGACGTTGATATTTTTTATTCTGCTTCCATGGAGGATTTTTCGCTTTCCAGATAATCAGAGCGTTTATGGCAGCAATGTCAATGATCCCATAAAAAATACAAAGTGGCCATCGCTTTTTGCCTCGTTCCACCTGGAAAAAAAATAAGACAGAGAAATACTGAGACATTTTTTTACCGAATATTTATGGCACATTTGATCGACAGTGTCGACAGCTCCCTCTGTTTTATTAAAATTCAAAATAAAAATTGATTTTTCAGTTTTCTTGTCCAGTTTATTGTCTTGATATTTCGAAGAGAGCAATAAAACAGTTTGATTCTGTTTGGGGACGAATGAAACTACGATTAAACCATCTTGAAAACCAACGAGCGAAGAAATTACTTCACCATTTTTGTTGGATTGAAGCTCGACAGGAATTTCTGGTTTGTTTTATCGCATTGTTCGTACAAGAGGCAGATTCTTTGTTTGAAGTTCTTGGGCCAATAGAATACTTCCCACGGAAAAATGTTGAACACTAAACCGCAACTAACCATGTTTTTTCTGATGCCACCGCGGTAACACTCTTGGAAACGGCTATCTCCTCATATTAAATGCGACATACCGCGATACTCTGAAGCGCAACAATCGAAAACCGCGATCCTTCCAATGAACATTACGGTTCAACTAAACTCGGTTTACCGAAGTTATCTTCGGTTGCAGTTCTATGTTAGAACGATGCGTTTCGCATAAACACTCGGTAACCGCGGTCTGTCGAAACGCAATGCTTCGAACAGAATCCCATTACTGACGAACTGTGCTATTCTCCGATCTGCTTATCATGGAACAGTGGAATCGTCAGTATTATTTTCTTTTCTTTTCATGTCGATGACATTCATCGTCATCTTGTCATTTCTATTTAGATTGATCAACAACGACAACGACAACGACAACGACAACGACAATGACGACGACAATCCATTGGAAGAGAAAAAAAATGGTAAGTCAAATCTTCTCTTCGAATCGATGAAGTTCATCGTCATTTCTTCATTTCTATTTAAAGCGGGAAAGAAACACGGAAATCGCTACTGCCAGATGGTTAGGGTCGAGCTTCATGATGTTCTCGCTGTTTTTGGGCGGAATCTGAAGTTCATTCGACCTTATCTGACTGGAATGATACATGAGAGCCTTCTCCCTAAGTAAGGAAGGAAAGGTGCAGTCGCATCACACGGAGGGTGTGGGTGTGGGTGTGGGTGTGGGTGTGGGGGTTGGTAGCGGCGACGATACCCACACCCCCACCCCCCCCCCCCCCCCGCCCCCCAAGCGCCCCCCNAATCAATGTTTACAAAGAAATATAAGAATTATTGGTTTTTCTACTGGTACGAAAATAACTAAATATTGTTAATTCAAATCTTACTAAAGAGTAACTTTTTTTATAGATGCCAATGCTAAATATCTACGCGCTATGAGATTAATGAGTGTTTTTTTTGGGTCTCTTCCTAATTTTCAAGTTCATCAACATCCGCAAGCTTTCCAAATAAAAACAACATCACGTTGGCCTTGGTTTTATCTAAGTGAAAAACAGCTATTATTGTTTTTTCAAGACCCAACTCATCTGGTTACAAAATGGCGTAATCGTTTATTATCATCGACAGCTGAATTATGTCTTGGTAATCAATTTACATTGATCAATCATTTACATGACATTATCAATAATGAAACTTATTCTAAACTTGACCATGGCTTAACGAAGTCTGACATTAACCCTAAAGATCGTCAAAACTTTAGTTCTTGTTTGAAATTAACAACTGCTGATCTATTTAAAATTTTAAATCATGATGTTAATACTCGGGGAACCCTGATTTATCTTCAGATGTTAAAAATGATTATATTGGCTTATGTAGAGAAAAAAACAACTATTGCTGAACGTTACTATGCCTATTTATTATTTTCACTGAATGAGAGGGGAAAACTCTTCATTCAGAACACGTCACATGTAATAATATTTTATTTTAGGACTAAGGTATGCTTGGTGTGTGGTATTTTTCTGTCGAATATGGTTTACATGGATCAAATTCAAAACATTCAATTCAACGCAAACTACAGAAAACAGTAAAAGCAGATATTTCATTACTAGACCAGCATTTTTATCGGTCGAAATAATCGCACATAATTTGTTACATTTAATTTTACGTGTCAAACAAAAACGTTTACCAACACATGTGTTACATATTTATATTTTTAATTCGCAAGCTTGCGAATCGATTTTTAGAAACACGCGAGCATTAAGTGGAATCTAGTCATCTATCATCAACTTTACAGTACATGATTTTTTACGACGTGCTCAAAGATTGTCTTTATTGAATGAAATTAAATTTAAACAGTTAAATGATGAATCAGATAATAATTTGGTCTTTCCAGTTCATCACAAACATCGAAATGATCGTCAATCATCGTTTACACAAAGTCAAAGTAAGATTGATCAAATAGATATCGAACGAATTATTACCGAATCCTACCATGAAGTTATTGACATGCTTGATGATTTAGAAATATTGAATTTGCTGAAAAACAAACGCGTTCTTAGCTTAGAATTATTAAACGAATATGTGTTTAAATAGTTAAATTCAACTTCAAAGATGTATGACTACTTATCTCAACTAAGCAATATAGATGATGGAGAATTTGAAATAGCTGATGATGATGAAGACGAAACAACAGATGATCTCAACATAGATGATGACAATAATGATAGTTTTTCCTCGAATGATGATTATAGTGATGACGACGAAAAAGACGATACTCGAGATTTAATAAACACGACAAAAAAAGACTTTATTGGAGTGAAAGTCTTTAATAAGATCGAACCTCACATAGAACAATCTTATTTTAAAGTCACAATAAATAATGATACAAAATATTTACATAAACAAACTGCTTGTTGGTTATTAACAGGTGACAAAAGTAAACTTTCAAATGACCGGTTACTTCGAGTAAAGCAAACCAATAAAAAAGAATAAATAAATGTTTTTTTTCTTTATGTAATATTTTGTTTGATTTTGTTTTTAAATAAGCAGTATTTTGTTTAATTTAAAGTTTTAGAGTCAGTGAATGTGCTGCACACAGGTAATTGAAAGATGCTGTGCACTCGTCTCTAAATCGAAACCAATATGTGCCGCATTTGACGTAACTATTGATGAAAAGAATCAAGACACAACCGTTTTAGATTTCTATAGTGGACTTATGGAGAGCTGCTAACGATTTCAAGAGATTTTAAAGGACTCCAATGGACTTCATTGGACTTCAATGAACTGAAGCCCGCTGTTTCCTCCTTGGATTAGCATCTAACGCATTTCATTTTGAGAGCAATGCTCAGAGCATAATTGATATAAGCTGATTCTCAATTGATGTTATATCTAGACTCACGAACTTGACATCGTGGTGGAACGCAATATCATCGATCAGCGACACATGGCAACGGCGGAAATATCTGTCACGTACTTCTTTATCTTGTTTAATGTCTCAAGCATATTTCTGTTGTTCTGTACAGACGTAAAATAGCAAAATTGAAGCTGCTAATCATCGTTGGCTTGATCCTTAGTTTGATCGTTGGGTTAGCTCTCATAGTTTCGTTGATCGTCTTATCTGTTCTCTTGACTCGAAGTGAAAACCCAGTCTCGATTACGACAACAAACGAAACGAATATTGGAGGGATAGCAAATAGTATGCAACTTTCTTCAATAAAAAGATGAACTCATCTCTACCCATCAATGGTGTTTTTTCGATGACAAATTCAGTTGAACATATCTTATCTTCAGCAACATTCAGGGTTCCGAAAACGAAAACTCCGCGATTATACAAATGTCACTAGAGCATTTTTCGAAATCCTCCCCCCCCCCCCCCCAGGCACACAAAATAGGAAAATTTAAAGAATTTCAACGATTGCAAGCGAGTCAATAGAATAGCTTAGATTAAGTGTATTAATTAAGTTTGTTGAGGTGGTGATTGGGTTGGG